ATTGGCCCCAAGTCACCCAATCAACTTTCATGCCTAAGACAGGACACAAACTCCCCATCTCCTGATGATTGGCCCAAAGTCACCCAGTCAGGAATTTTAGTCTAAGGAAGGACTAGAACTCCCACATCTCCTGGTGATTGGCCCAAGATAATCCAAAACCTCAAGATCCAATTCCTTCTCATCGGCAGACGGTGACGGTCAAAGAAGACCAAATCATGCAGCAGAACCCGCCCAAATTCGACAAGATCGAGGACATGGCCATGCTGACCTTTCTGCACGAACCAGCCGTGCTCTACAATCTGAAGGATCGCTATGCCTCCTGGATGATCTACGTAAGCCAAGGAACAGGGAGGGGTGACTTTGCGTGGTGGTCCTTCTTCTACCCCGAAGGGATCTAGGGATGGTGAGCAAAACCCAGTGTCAACTCGTAAAGCATTCCTGGCCTGCTCTTGAGTTGCCGTAGGCAGAGCGGGGGAGGAGCTCGGTTGCTATGACCAGAAGCACATTCCACGTATACCTTTCTCCAGGTTGTATCCCAGGTTATTACAGAGCCATGTTTTCTACAGCCAGAGAAAGTGCTCCATTGGAGAATGTGATTTATGACACATCCTGGGAGGAGGGAGGAAACAGGGTCATAGGTGGACAGTAAATTACGTGGGGCAGAGCCAACTGCACTTGGGAAAGTACCAACATGTTGCTCCTAATAAATAGTTGGATTTCTGTTGAAACTTGGCTCGAAGCTCATGAATTAATTAGGGCGTCCGTCGGAACCCTGACACCCAGGTGGGTTGTGTGTTTAGAGGTGATCCCAGTTACATCAACAATGCAGCTAGTCCTCAACTTCCAACTATGCTCGGTTGGGGAATTCTGGGAGTTGAAGTCCAGAACTTCACTTCTCTTCCTCCTCTTTTTCTCCAGACCTACTCGGGGCTCTTCTGTGTGACGGTCAACCCCTATAAGTGGTTGCCCGTCTACAACGCAGAAGTGGTGGCTGCTTATCGAGGGAAGAAGCGGAGTGAAGCTCCCCCCCACATCTTCTCCATCTCCGACAATGCCTATCAGTACATGTTGACAGGTAAAAGAGGACAAGGGCGCCACAAGGGACGACTTGTTTGTCATCAGAGGAGAACGAAGGTTTCAGGAAGTCAAATGTTGCTCCTCCTTTTCCTCTTCCTCTTTTCCTCCCCTTCCTCTTTATCTTCTCCTCCTCTTCCTCCTCTTCCTGACTATCTTCTCCTTTTCCTCGTCTATCTTCTCCTCCTTCTTCTCTGTCTCTCTTCCTCCTTGTTTACCTCCTCCTTTTCTCCTCCTCTTCCTACTCCTCTTCTTCCTCCTTGTCTATTTTTTCCCTTCTTTTCCTCCTTTTATCTTTTAATTCCTTTCCTCCACTTCCTTGCCTATCTTCTCCTTCTCGTCTTCCTCTTCCACCTCTTCCTTCTTGTCTATCTCCTCTCCTTCCTCTTCCTCTTATCCTCCTCTTCCTCCTCTCTCCTCCTTCTCTTCTTGTTCTCCCTCCTTGTACTCTTTCTCCTCTTCCTTATCGTCTTCTCTTCCTCTTTGTCCTTCCTCTCCTTCTCCTTCCCTTCCTTGTCCATCTCTTCCTCTTCTTGTCAATCTTCTCCTTTTCCTCTTCTTCCTCTTTATCTACCTTTTCCTTCTTCTTTTCCTCCTCTTTTTCTATGTCCTCCTTCTTCCCTTCTCCCTTGTCTATTTTCTCCTCCTCCTCCTCTTCCTCCTTGTCTCTCCTTCTCTACCTTCCCTTCCTCCTTGTCTATCTTCTTCTTCCCTTCCTCCCTTTCTTCCTTGTCAATCTTCTTCCTCCCTTCCTCATCCGTTTTCTCCTTCTCTTCCTCCTTGTCTATCTCCTTCTGCTCTTCCTTCCTTGCTTTCGTGTCCCTCCCTTTCTTTTTAACCCTTTTTCTTCTCTTCCCTAGATCGGGAGAACCAGTCCATTCTTATCACGTAAGTCCCATCTCCTGCCTTGAGATCTTTCACAATGCTCTTTGGTTGTCTTACCATCCCATGGAACTTGGTTTCCGTTTTGATGGTGGGTCTCCTCACAATGAAATTAAAGTGGTTTTCTTCGGTCCTTGACCCAAGCAGGAAGCTATGTGGACATAACATTTGTTTTCTCATTGGGATCGCTAGACATTTTGCAAGGGCTGGGTTGGAAAATGGTGCTGGATTATTTAGGATTAAGATGGAATGGAATGGAATAGAATATAGAAAGAATAGAATAGAATAGAACAGAATAGAATAGAATGGAATGGAATGGAATGGAATGGAATGGAATGGAAAGGAAAGGAAAGGAAAGGAAAGGAAAGGAAAGGAAAGGAAAGG